CTGTCAGGTAGATGTTGTGGTGTGTGTTAATTCGCCTGAACGAGTCATGCGGAAAAGTGGTCCTTTTGTGGCTATACGCCTGCACGGTTCATGTGAAACGTGGCACATTTTGCTATTCACCCCGTTGGGAGTTATAAGTGCTCCCGCAGCACACCTCCCCGTTGCACATATCTTCCCGTTTTGTAAATTATAAATCTGTTCTCTTTTAAATCATTTGTGTGATTTTTCAGCTGTTGAGAATACCAAAGTTATACACCTATGCATACATATACATATGTGTTTCTTTTTTCCCCAACTGATTACTGATCGCATTTTTCCATTGATTGGAAGTTAACGATAGGATGAATACATATCCATTCAGCGCTGAGCTTTTCCTTTTGTAGGCACAGTTTAGTGGTACTTTAAAAAAAAAAAAAAATCTACACCCGCGTGAACATCGTGAGCAGGCCGTTTTAGTGCAAATCGGTTAGCACAAAATGGGAGAAACGTTTCTTCCCCTTTTTGGCCAAGTGGACCCGCAAAAATAAAAGCGGCTTCCACCAGTGTAGTAACTCTGCCAGGGTGCGCACAAATTGGCGTTTAAACATTTCCATGCGGTGAAGGAAAAAAAAAAAAAAAAAGGGGGGGGACGTCCCGGTGCGTTGAGAAGGCAAAATAAGAAGCAGAAGAACGACTTAAGCCGAACCGTAAAAATGGATCATCATACACTGATATAATGATATGTTAAGAGGATTCACCCCCTCACCCCCCCCAAAAAAAAAGCTGAATGAGTCACATGTTCAAGTATTATAAAGGGAAAACAAAAGAATCTCAACTGAGTGTGATGGGCAAATTGTGTAGTTGATGTGAGGGGAAATAGTGTGCCCCTTATTACTGCACAGGGTAAACCACGTGAATGCTAAACGGTTTGCAGAAAGGAAGAAGCTGCCTTAGTCCATTGTGTGTGGGAACGCTGCCGAGATAAGATCATCCGTTCTACATGACTAGCCGTGTCCCTACATGAGGGCAGAAACTTGCGAATTGTAAAGACGACTTGTTTTCATATAACCGAATGATAGTTTTGTGCACATGCCGACATGGGGAAGCACGACATATGGACGTGTAATGGGGGTGGGGGGGCACCTAAAAGGGGTACACCTTACGTGACGAGTGAAATTGAATAAGGCATCGTTTTTGTGTTGAACCCATTTTCGCAATAACATGGCCAACCTATTTAAGGACGTCTATTTACAAAATTGCACCACAGGGAGAGTCGCCTGCACATCGTTTTGGCAGCGCTCCTCTTGTTTGGTGAACTTTTCCCGTTTGTGCAAAATGGCGATACTTCTGTGATTTCCACTCTCTGTCCTTTTTTTTTATATTACCTCGATGTATTGGATAAAAAAAGAAAAAAAGTACCTCCGCGAGCTCATTGGCGCAACTATACTCTCGTGCGAAAAAAATTCCAGTTTTGTCTGAACAGGACAGACAAAAAAAAAAAAAAAAAAAAAAAATTACTAGCCATTTTACAAAACGGCAGGTACATCCCTGCACAAGTGGGAAATGATTCACATCTGCATCATTCCGCAGTGGCCGCTTCACATTTTGAAGTTCTCCACATGAGTGTGGCAGGTTTGGAAAGCGCAACTGGATGGAGAGAAAAGAATTGAGTGAATGTCTCTTTCTTTCCACAGTTCTGTCTGCACTTCCGTCTGCTCCTTTTTTTTTGGTATATTCATAATCCTCCCCCATTGCTCGTGCATTGTGGACGCCGTCTCGCGCGAGGCCAATCGGTGTATCATACGCACAAAGGTAGGAAAAGCATAAACGAGCATATGCATTTTTCGCTTGCATGTATATAGCAAAATGGTTTTTCCCTAATCTTATTATTATTATTATTTTTTTTTTTTTTTCACCCCTCCCGTGTGGACAATATCATAATCGTGAAGAGTGAAAATTATTTATGTCCGATTTTCACCTCCTGTTTTGTGCTTGTCATTGTTTTTTTTTTTTTTTAATCACAAAAAAGAAAAAAAAGGGAAAGTGTCTACTGAGTGGGAGGAGGCATGTGTCAGTAATTGAAACGACGCCAGACGTACATGTGTATAAAGCGCATATAGGTAAACAAGTGAGCGTAGGGCATATGAGAGAAGGTGTGTTATGTAACTCGACCCTTTCGTTGTTGTTCCAGGGGTAGACGTCGCGGCAGTATTTTTTTTATGTGCGTGTGTATACCTGTAACGTCAAAACGGTGTATATGAGTCGTGAGATCAGTTTCCACGGGGTAGAAAGCATCCCCAAGTGGAGACTCATCGCAGCATACGCATAAGTACAAAAGAACCTCTCGTTGGTATGTTTTTTTTTTTTTTTGTAGATAATTGCTTAATACACGTTCCAATTTGAGTTTTTTTTTTTTTTTTTTTTTTTTTTTTTTTTTTTTTTTTTTCGTACTCATTCTGCTCATCACCTTTGGTTTTCTCATTTGGTAAGAAACGCGAAAGGTGAATAGTCTGTCCCGAGGTGCCCCCGTGTGAGAGAGGGAGTTAACCAGTTTATTAGCACGTTACACGATTTTGGCGAAGAGCGCGAGCGTTGCACGTCTTGTGGTAGATCAAACGAAATGCACTCCGTGCGCACTTTCCTTCCCCCCCTTTGTAGAAAGCGGTCCACCAAAGGGGATCGGAGAGCACGGAGGAGCGCCGCAGACGCCTGGGCCCGGAGGAACTAAACATTGTAACATGGACAAGGGGAAAAACTCTTCATTGGAATACCAAGAAACCATGAACGATCTGGGGGAGGACATTGAAGATATGGAATCCCTGAGCCAAAAGCATGGTGGGGGAAATGTGGGAGGAGATATAAAATCGGTAAAAGGGGACAAGGGAGGAGAGACAGTTGACTCAGCAGATGGAGGACAGGTAGGAAGTAACCCACAGAACGCTCTGTATAACTACCCAACAGAGAGTGCTCAAAAAATCTTAAAGACACATTTAGAAGATTATTTAAAGCAGCTGGATTTATACAAAAGTAACCCCAAGTATAAAATTGACCCAACAGTATACTTGGAAGGAACAGAAGAGGTTGAAAATTACGTTGTAAAGGAAAAAATACTCATCACGACATACTACCAGTACATAGAAGTGTATGAAAGTTCCCTCGATGTTGAAGAGGATGTGGAAAGGGAAGAAATTGTGTACGTGGAGGTTCCAAAGTACGTTACTAAATATAACCCTAAGGTAGTAACAAATTATGTTGAGAAGACGATTGAGGTTCCGAGTGGAGAGGAAATAAAAAGACCTGTGTATAATCAGGTTAATGTGCCTTATGTAGTTCCACATGTTGTGGAAAATGAAACAGAAGTTGTTTTGAAAAAGATTGTGCAACCAGAGATCCTTACGTCTAATGAGGAGATAGAAGTGGAAGTTGAAAAATATGTCCCACGTTTAGTTCCGGTTAATGTTTATGTGCCTCGGTACTTTGCATTATCAGCAAAGACGTTAGATGAAGTGGAACAGTCTGTTCAATATGTGGACCTGACTCCTGAACAGACCGACTACCTGCTAAAGGAATTGAATCCCCATTTGAATGATCTCAAGAGCTTCAACGAGGCACAACTGAAACGAATGGAAGACTTCATTCAGGAATCTGAGCAACAGGCCAAGAGTCACGAGTTGGACCCACCGCAACCGGAACTCGTGTCGTACGACCTGGATGGACAGAGCCAGACCCTCGACTACAGCGACTTCCCCCAGTTCAAAGAGACCTGTCTGCGCGAGTTGACCTGCTAGGAGGGGGCCAAGCGGTGGTTACGCGGCCGTTACGAGGTTGTTACGAGACCGTTGCGAGGTGGTGGTCGGTGACACCGGCGCCCTATATGACCTTACCTCCCCAATTGGACCGGACACACAGTCGCGGAATGGGGCAGACACGGAGTGATAATTTTTTAACCCCCCTTTTTTGTATCCACTACGCGTGTTGTACTAGTAATGAATTAACGGCTCGTAAAAAAAAAAAAAAAAAAAAAAAAAAAAAAAAAAAAAAAAAA